CCAAAATAATGTATTTTGATTTGTTCAGTCTAACATCTGTTGGCCATATACATGGCTATTCCAGTGCCAAAATCCTAGGAGTAAAGTGCATCTGGAATTTTAGCTTACATAGCCAAGGTCCTTGGCAGGAATATGAGGAACTGGGCAAAATGGGAAATAATCCTAAATAAATTAGTCTAAACAGGAAGCTCAGTAAAGCTTCAGTATTTAATGTGAACCACTAATGTGGGTCAGTTCATTTGCTTCCAAAAATCAGTCTCTTCTTCCTGGGAGTTTGTAAGTGCTTCTATTGCTGTCTTTGTGTATAAGAGGTTTTCTCGTAGGTTCTTCTATGCAGAAATGCATTGATTGCTGCATCTTGTATTTTTCCCTTTGTCCTTGTGTTTTGCTGACACTGTACTGGACCCCTGGGGATAACAGGGAACTGAAGCACAACAAAGCATAGATATGTGAAAAAGGGAGTTCCAAAAAGTATGGTAGGGAGATTTAAAAATAGTGTACAAAATGATGCATTAAGAAATACTGTACAAAAATACATTAGGAAAATAAGTATACAAATGCCTACTCATTTCTGCAAGGGAAGAAAACTTAATTTTTGCAATGTGATGGTAAGGAAGGGTTGGTGCTGTAGTTGAAATACAGAGAAGTGCAACAAAGGTGAGATTTGGATAGGTCTTTGAACCGCTAATTGTAAGTACACGTTTATGGGCATGAGGCTTCAAACCCTATAAACTGCTCACAGCTTAAAGTGGTGCAGATCAAAGTTCAGTATTTCACTGAATACCAGATCTCACATTTTTGTTGTTAATCCTACAGACAATTGAGTTGACAACCAGAACAACCTTAGTCTATGTACTGACACCCTCCCCATTACTCCTGTTAAGGCTCATCTTCTGGCTCAAGAGCAAACTTTGCACAGAATACTTTTTCTAAGCTGCAGTTGGGCTTGTTTGTGCTGCAGTTCATATTCTAGGGCCACATTAAAGGGAAATGCAAGAATATTGAATGGGCAGTTCTCAGTCCTTGCAGCTGGCAATGTATCTGTGACCAAACTAAGCTGGAAAGTAATTGAAAAACACTGGCCAAGGTTCTTTCACTGAAGAGCATGAAGATGATTGAAAGGAGGCCTTCAACTACCAGGTGAAGTTCACTTCAGGGTTCTGATGATCTTTTACTTCTGCATCAAGAGCTAGACCTCTGGCAGGACGCTCAGCTATAAAGGCCAGCCAGTATCCCCTGCAGGGGCTCTTAAAAAGTGTCGTGTGTGCAAGTACCTCTGTACAGACTTAACTCCCATCTCTTGATGAGAGGATAGTCTTAAAATCAAAGATGAAGACCCATGCTGAAGAGGCTTGTGTCAACGTCTTCTCAAAACACTGGCCCAGTTCAGAGCTTGCTATGTAGGTTCCCTGTGCAGGTTTCTGGCCATTCTGTTGTCCATGTTGCTGCTGTGAAGACCCGCTTTTAGCAGGTGCTTCTGAGAAAGCCTACCAGAATTGCAAGCATTGTTGGTCACGTGCAAAAGCAGCATCCCTCAAAGTTGCATCTCTGGAGGCCAGCTACATTCCAGATTCTCTGAAAGATTTCTGTGCCTGTAGGAGAGAGAGCGAAAATGCAACAGCAGTCCTAGAACAGCTCCTTCTTTCTACCAGAACAGTCTGTGTTGTACTGTACTGGCTGTTTATAACCAGCAACCAGTGACTTGAGCTCGATATGTTTGTAAACTCCTTTCCAAAAGTACTCTGCAGTGCATAACAAAGGAGTCTCTCTGGCTCCAGCACTGGTCAAATGGCAAGCCCATAGGTTTGCTCCCTCCTCCCCATCACAGTTTATGGTCACACATTTGAATGAGCTGCTTCTTTTTCTGTGCTTTTAGCCATTTTATTTCATTCAGTTTCACAAATTGCCATTTTATGTATATCCCTACATCATTCTACATTTATATTTATGTTCTTGCGTTATATAAGTAAAAACTATTTAATGGATACCTTATATTTTATGGCATATTGTTGTATCACTTCCCATACAAAAGACATTTGTGTTTCCTACATTGTAACGTGTGTAGGTTCAAACTCTTGACTAAAAGGCAAAACAGCCTCTTTACCACATCCTAAGCCATCCTCTCTGAAGAGGGAAAAATGCAAAGGAAAAATATACAAATCCTCAGAGCCACTGGCTTTATTTCATGCACTTATTCTAGTTCTAGTTAGATCCCAGTGAGTTCATCACATTTAGGTATTTTGGTTGTTCGTCTGAACCATTATTGTAACCTGAACCTCTATCTGATACAACAGACATTTACAGAGTGCGATTCAGGAAATAATTAAAGGTTTGTTGTGACTCCCTGTATTTTTTCAGAAGGAATTTGAGAAGCCACTGCAAACGTTTCAGCCCAGACTTGGTGCCAAGCTGTTGCTGGGGGACAAGCAGGCAATTGACAAGTGCAGTGACCAGGTGTCAGGGATGCTTGAGCTGCAGACTCCTTCCTTTGGCAAGGGATTGGACCTGATGACTCTGAGAGTCCCTTCCACCTCTACCGTTCTCTGATTGAATAAAGGACAGTGATCACTGGTTGAGAGGCCCCAGCATGGAAGAAGCAATGGCATGTGCGCGCGCGTGCACGCACACACACACACACAGACACACACACACACAGACACACACACACACAGACACACACACACACAGACACACACACACACAGAGTTGTTTTCTCTTACCCGTAATGTGTTGGAAGCAGATGTGGAACTGAAGTCTGAATACTTGTCACTGCCTTGACCCTTGCTACACCTACTCTGACAGAACCACCTGTAGTAGTCGTCACGCACCTAGGCACAGAAGACAATAAGCCCATATGTTAGCTTTTAGTGAACTGAAATTTCCAAACCAAAGACAACAACCCATAGCCAGGCATTTTACTGTAATGCCTTTAGGATTTCCTGTGCCACCTCTAGCACTACTGAATACCAAGCTTACATGCCTTCTTGTGCATATACACTCGGAAGACCCTCCAAAATTTAATGGGCATCAGCCTTAGAGGCAGTTTCCCCACCTCTTTTCCCTTCCTGCATTACAGGTACCTGTTTCTTGAGCAGACAGTGGAGAAGGAAGATAAACAGTCCCTGCAGGCTGTTGAGGATGGTGAAGATGTAAGACATGACAAGGGTGTTGTTGCTGATCTGAAACATGCCGAAGATCCAGGTGGTGCCCAAAATACAGAGTTGGGCAATAGCGGTGATTGTGAGTACCCTGGTGGAAAAGAGGATTGAAAGGGAACTTAGGCTGACTTCCATGACACATCATCTCATCAAGAACACTAAGGAGTAGTTTTGGTACAGAAGCTAGAGAGGTACGGCTGCAGCAGAGAGTCTTAGATCACAATATGATGCATCTCATTAGTTGTTCACATTAGGTGTCCAAGATAAGAGCAGGTTGGGGGCTCTGAACTACTCATATCCATTCCATCAGTTAAGCTGTTACATCACCAGACGGCTGCTACAGGGAAGGGCTACTGTTGGTATTTTGCCAATTGTGAGTTCTTGGCCTCTTTAAGGTGCCACAGGGATCACTTTTTCCTCATTTGCTTACCTTTGCTTTTTCAGTTTAGTCATGTCGGGATTGATGTCGGTAAACTTCTGCGAAAGTTTCCAGACAGTAACCACAAAAACAACAGCATTGACCTGTGCCAGAAAAAGTTACGGGTGTGGATGTTAGTAAGCTTCTAGGTAAAAGCCGGCCCTAGATAACTTTGCATACCCCACTTCTTCTAACTTCCCTTCTGGGGGCTCAAAAGTAGAAACTTATTTTCACTAAGTAAACAAAATGTAGGGGGGAAATATGTGCAGCTGTGTCACCTAAGCGTCGCAAACAAGAGCAGGTCAAACGATTGATATATTCTAGCTGCCACTCAATCACAAGTGGCATACAAAATGCTCTCCAAGAAATCTGGAAACTTTTATGTATTTTTTTCCCCTGTTAGAAGGAACGGCCATGAAAACAAAGAACATGGGAGCCAAGTGGAGTGGGGATTTTTTGTTTGGGTCACTAATTGCTTCCCTGTAATCATAGCAAGGGAGGCATCAAGACAATGAGGAACAAAAGAAGGTGGTGCCAGAGAATGGGCAGAACAGGAAGGATCGGACAACAAACAGAGTGAGCAAACGGGGAGAAATGGAGGAATGTACCTATATCAGTCGCTTGCTCACTGCAACCACAAGAAAGTGAATATCAACCAACTAGATCCATTCACAAGAGCAGATCCATTCACAAAGTTAGTCCACAGAGGAGCTTGCAAACTATGGCTTTAGATAGCCCCAGCAGATGTCAAAAGAAAGGAAGGATGGTGTAGGTATGTATTAAGCGTTTACCATTATGATGAGGGAGACAGGTCCTAAGAAGCTCCACAGGAACTCATTTTCTCTTGAAAGCCAGCAGCTGCAGGGAACAAAAGAGGGTGAATCATCCTGTAGGCCCTGGTGTGTACATGTGTTTCCCCCCTGCGCAAGGTAGGTCTGCTCCCTTGGTCCCCTAGAAACCCCACTCTCCCTCCACACAAGAGCCCCTAGAGGATGAAAAGCTCATTGTCCATCATGCAGGCATGAGAGGTCGGCAGAGACGGGCTGTGTCCTTGCCTGCACCGTGCTTTAGATTGTGCATTTCTCTGCTTACCTGCGTAGCCTTCCTGTTTTAAGTACAAAAGCATGACACAAACACAGCCAGGTAACTACCAGCATGCTACAAAGCTGTGCACTTCCTTCTCTGCTTACCTGCGTAGCCTTCCTGTTTTAAGTACAAAAGCATGACACAAACACTGCCAGGTTACCAGCATGCTACAAAGCTGTGCACTTCCTTATTCCAAATTTGGTACTTTTGCTTCAAATATGTTTAGTCCTCATGGGTCCACTCCCAAACCCCAGGACTCACTGTTTGTTGCCATAGCCCTTGCTATTTATGGCAGCTGAGAGGCCCACCAAGATGGCCGGCAGTCCATAGCCTACGAAGTAGAGATGCCAGTGTTTGAGGCTGTGGGTTTTGAAGACTTGGACCACCATGAGGTAGAGTTCCACACCTTCCAACAGCATCCAGCAGAAGACAGATAGGAAGAAGTAGTGCAGCATCCCAGCCACTACAGCGCACACCATCTGAGAGGAGAGAACAGATCAAGAGGAGATCACGAAGGACCGACCTGATCAAGCCTTTGGTACACGTCATCTTAAGCTAGAGGAGCCAAAAGGGATGGCTGGTCCTTCAGATGTCACTGCACGGTAACCTCCATCAGTTCGACCTGGCATCGTTGCCTTTTCTCTTTCCCACAGACAAGGCCAGATGGTGTATGTCACAACTGAAATCTACTCTCTTGCTGCCACAAATGGTACCAAGGTCTCCCACTGGCTCCAGTGAAAGGGGCAGGACAACACTGTCAGGCAAATGGCTATTCTGGTAAAAGCTGACAAGAGTTTGGGTGGAGAGAGAAAACTGAAAGTGGGTTGTTGTCACACTGTTTCCCTCCATATGATAATTCCTTTCTAAGCACATCTGATCCCTCGCCCCTTCTCCTCTGGTCTTACTCTTCACCCCTCCCTCTTTCTTTAGTCTTAGGACTTGATGCACATTGTTGCGATGTCTGCCAATCCCGTGTCAGCAAATCCCGGGCCCTCGAAGGAGGTGAAGCTACTTCCCCCTCCCGCTGCTAAAAGACACCCCACCTGTGGCGCATCCACTTCCTTTTTGCTAATACTGGCCAAAATGTAGTAATCCATGATGATAACCATGTTGCATTTCCACCATATTGTTACATCACAGTGTCTGGGAACACAGACTGAATTAAACGTATCATGAGACCAGAACCTGCTGTTCTGCCTCAAGCTATGTGCCCAGGATCAGCTGTGATTTTACTGACATGTTTTACTGCCAAAAAGGAACGTGCAATGATTTAGAAGGATCTAGTTGTGGCGAAATGAAGGGGAGGCTGCAATAATGGAAGAGGAGAAACAGCTGGGGAGAATGGAGGCACAGACAAAGACCTGGCTGGAAAGAGGGTGTCCTCCCATCACACAGATGGCAAACACCCCTCCCCCAATTAGGGATACATGTGAAGGATGTCATCACAGCCTGAAACAGAAGACTTCCCTCGGAATACTGACAGACTGCACAACAGGAAACCAGCTCAAAGATGGCTCATCTTACCACTTCTTGCTGGTTCAAAGAGGGAATGACAAACTACAGCCAACTGCAAAACATAAACGGCAACAAGGCATACGATCTGTGCTTTAAAGAAATGCCTTTGCAAGGCTACCGGGGAACATGCTCTTCCCTATCTGCATTCCCCCAGAGCCTCCAAAATACAGCTCACTCTGTTAAAAGCTTCAATTTCACAATGATATAAAAGAAATAGGTGGCAGGTTCCCCTGAACCTCGGTCTTCTGCCCCAGATTATGACATCTTCCACCCAGAGGGAGTTACCAAAGACAGGAATCTGCAGGAACAAAGGTAAGGCCCTCCTTTTCCATCACTCCAGTGTCCAAAGCCAGCCTTCAAATCCTATGTTGCTGAAATTTGCAATCCACAGCAGCCAGCCGTTCCTCAGGCTTGCCTGTTCAGAGCCACGCCTCCTTTCCTAAAGGCATCAACACCTGTCTTTGTAATGCTGTCTGCTATACTTGGGGAAGGCTGCTTGGCGACAGAAAGATTCCACAGTGGTCAGAAGCTGGACATTTCATCCCTTCAACAGAAGGCCACAGAAGAACCCCGGACCTCAGTTTCCCCTCTCTTGCCAGTAGTTCCCTTTGGATCCCGCCCGCACCCCTGTACCACCCCAGCAAGGTACCTTGTTGCTAGGATTCCCAGCTCCCAGCAGGAAGATGACATGGGCCACGAAGAGGGCCAGGCACAGGTGGAGGTGGAGGGTGGTGCGGATGCCCCGGATGGCGCGGCAGAACAGGAAGGTGAGGATGGAAAGGAACAAGCAGACCAGAGACACGACCAGCCCAATTTTGGTGATGATGGTCAAGTTCCAGTCCTGCCAAAATGACATTTTAAAACCATGTAATGTAGGCTCCATCTCAGCAAAGGTCAGCAGAAGAACCTCCTAAAGAGGAGAACTGCCCTTCAGGTCTCAATATCCAGGAGACATTGCTTCAGTCACATGGCGAAGGGGGTCAGGGATAGATTTCTGATCCTGAAACTTTCATGCCACAAGTAGGGCGGCTTAGAAAAAAGAAGGGGGGGGGAGAAAGAGAGAAGCTGGGGGTAGGGGAGAGCAGTAGGCTGAAGATTAGTACCTTCCCTGCACTTTGGGCAGCCTGCTTTGATTTATCCCTGGTCCGCTGGCAAATCTGCTGTTGAAACAGCAGGATCTCACATCCGTCACTCACATTCAACTCCTGGCCTTCTTCCTGTCCCTGTCTCAGTGCTTTCTCCATAAGCTGAGAAACTAAAAGGCAAGCTCAGCTTCTGTTCTGCAGGTCAGAAGACTGGTAGGGCTCCTTTCCCCTCTATTTACTTGGTACCTGCAATAGGAACGTGTTGATACAGTTTCCCTCTCTCTCTCCTCTTCCCCACCCCATTTCTGTCTCTTTACCAGGTAGCCAAGCAAGCTAGGCAAAGGCCAGGCCTGTAAGAGTCTCTTCCTCCTACTCCTCCTGCTCCCAACCCTTCCTGTCTGTCCTCTCTCTGTGCCCAGCTGCTACCTCTGGCTTCCTTCTTCCCATACTGAAGGGCTGTCCTGAATTCATCTGCTCCGATTAGGAGAATTTGCTCCAGAGGAGGAAGCAAGCTGCCAAGCAAGCAAGACAATGAGTAGATAGGAATAGGTGACTGGGCAGGTGGGCAGTTAGTTGTGGGGCAGGTGCCTCAGAATATGGGCTGACTGAGCCATTTGGCCCTTTTGCCATTTCACCTTCAAAAAGGGCCAGACATTCTGCTGCCACCACCCCACACTCTTTGCTAACGGCTGCTTTGCCTGCTCCTCTCAGCATGAACACAGGGGCTGTGCAACGTGTTTCTCTGAAAGTGACTGGCTTCCTGCTATTCCTATAGCCCTGGAAGATGCTGCTTAGGTTGACTGCTGACTCCTTCCCATCTGTCAAGAAGCCCCCATCTTTGACATGCACCCAGTGCTTCATGCTCCAGATGCGGCATTCACAGAGGAAACCCTCACTTCTTCCAGCAGGGCACAGTGAGCTTTTCAAGGTTTGCTTCAAATGTCCCCCCTCACACATAAATGGCTCGTGAAAGTTGCCTTTCACACCTACAGCATGGTTTATGAGACCACACTTTAGTGGCTCTCTAAAACAGGAAGCTGTGCATCTGTTCTGTGATGAAAGACACGGCCACTAGCTCTGTACACAGTGCATACATTGCAGTGGAAAGAAACATGGATATTTCTCTTAGAACATTTTATAGGGGAAGCAAATGTAGCAGATTCTACATCAATCATGTGCCTCCTTCTGTCCCTTGGTTGCAATGCATGATCCCATTCTTCACCTCTGCCACTGGACAATTTCTGTCTCAGATCAAGGCCTTACTTGTGGCTTCATTTTTTCTGACCCTTTTCTTCCACTCAGCACATGAGAAGTAAATAAGGGAGTGGAATCAAAGATCACGTCCTCAGACGGGACTCACCTCCACATCATAGAAGGCCATGAGCACCGCAAAGCTGGTCAAGTGGTCACACTGGCAGTGCGTGGTGGTGGCTGTGCTGGTGTTCAGACGTGTGCAACCTCTCTCAGACCAGCGTCCGCTGCCATTGACAGGCTGCCAGAAGGCACAAATCACCTTCACATCAGGTTTTGAGTCCTAGCAGGAAACATGAATGGCAAGCTGAGTTGCTTGAAAAGGTTAGGAGGAGAGAGCCAGGATTCACACTTCGTGCCTCCGTATCACACAATGTCCGAAGAGGGACTCTGTGCCTCTGGACACAACAAGCAAGGAAGAATTATACATGTGCCAGAGCTTGGAAACGACTCTCTCCCCATGACAGTCTCCCATCCCACACAATGGCTGGGGATTCGGTGAAGCATTGTCCCAGGAAGTACTTCATGGCCCCATGATATGTCAACCTCTGGACAGATGTGCCACCACCCTTCGGAGCGGATATGCCAGGACTTTCCTCCTCCTTCAGCATGTCCGTCTCCTAGGGCAAAAGGGTAGAGAAAACCGGGGTAGGGAAAGGGCCGCCAAGTGTTATTAGGGAGTGCAAAGAGGAAGGAGAGAAGGGAACTACTCACTGCATTCTGGTGGCTGAAGGTGACCGTGACAGGAGCACTCAAAGAGCTGGTCTCGCTGTGGCCCACAAAAGCTGCGGCCACCCTGGACAACACTTTGTAGGTGGGCTTGCCTGCCACTTGCGCCCACGGGGGTGACTTTCCAACCTGCTCCCACACTTCCCCTTCCACATCAGCCTCAGTGAGGATGGACTCGAAGCCACGGTAGGTGATCAGGCCTATGAGGCTTAAGCCTGAAAAGGTGAGCAATTCGAAGTTCTGAGCATACGATGGCAGGACACAACACCAGGGCCTGGTCTACAGAGGCCTAAGGAGGAGGCACCGGAAATCTTGAAACTGCAGAGAGGACTTAAAACAGCCAGTGGAGGCAAATCTCACTTCTGAAATTCACCCTCGAACAAGGAAGATCTCCCTGCCCACACAGAACGAGCTCAGCCGGGGATGGGCTGGCCTACAGCCTCTTCTCTTAGACATTCTGCTCTTTTCCCTTTACAGGGAATTTACTCGAGGACAAGGGAAGAATGTTTAGAGAAGAGGCATCCCCAGACTGAATACTGTGGTATATTTATACCACCTTAACTGCAGGGCATGTGTGCTCTAGGCCTCAGAAAAAAGATCAACAAAGGAAGAACTTCTCCGGGTCGATCCATAAGAACGTAAGAACCATTGGTCTGGACTAGACTGGAGCCCTCCTGAGGCACCAGAGAAATGCACAAGTAGGGCATGTTGCTCCCACCCCATGCTAAGCAGTCTGTGTCACCAGGCATGCTCAAGTGGTGACCTTTCTTTGTTCAGAGGCCAGGATGGAACAAGATTTCTATTAATGTTCATTTGTAGGCAATGCAAATTTCAATATGATCAAGGAGCCTTACGAGAAAAGAGAGAGAGAGAGAGAGAGAGAGAGAAACTTTCATCTAGAGCAGTGGTTTCCAGCTGTGGGTTCCCAGAGGTTCTTGGACTACAACTCCCAGAAATCCTGGCCAGCACAGCTAATGGTGAAGGCTTTTAAGTCTGGGGACTCAAGACGGGGAACTACTGCTCTACCACATTTTTTTTTCTGTTAAAAACAAAACTCTAACATCTGTCCCTCCACTCTCAAGAAGCCTTCTACCCATTCCATCATCTTGGTAGCTCTGTGATCCCTAACACTGTAGCTCCCCCAAAACTCAGTGATGCCGGCTTCCAAAGGAGCTTCTCAGCCTCCCTTTTGTCTCTTCTCACTGCCCACCCCCACCCCCCCTGCTGTGCCAGAATCCGGCTCCATCTGTTGTGCAAGAGGGGTTCTTTACCTTCCCCTTCTTTGCTTGCTGCTTCCCAATTTAGCTTCATCTGCGTCTGACTGTGTGACAGCTGGGCTGGGCTTTGGCTCCAATTCCTAGGTGTCCTAATCTCCATGGTCAGCTCTGGAATGAAAGAGCACAAAACAAAACTCAAGCCAAGGCTGACATCCAGCCGAAAAGGGCAAGGGGCAAAATCTCTGGAAGAAGCACTGTTGTCTTCAAAACATCCCAGCCAGCCCACTTATCGTTTTATCCAGCACCACAGAGACTCTGCTTGTAGGGAGCTGTACAAAGGACAGAATCTTTCCAGAGATTCCACTCTCAGCCTCCCTGCTCTGAACGTGCTAAGTGGTACAAGGTAGGTGCACCTCTGATGGAAAAAGGAGGAGAGGCCAGCAGGATGCTCAGGTCACCCTCAGAGGCTGCTTACTCACCCGTGCCTTTGTTGTGCTCAGTACGGAATGCCCTGCGTTGGGAAAATGCCCAGACTCTCAAGAAGCCTTCCACCGATTCCATCATCTTGGTAGCTATGCGGTGCCTTTGCACCGGGCTCTCAGCCTCTAGTTCTTTAATTGCTTCATCCAGCAGAGTTAAGAGAGCCTAAGATGGGAAATTTCATGTCATCAAAGCACAAGGGGAGAAGAACAAAAAACAAACAAAAACTGGCATTTTGTGGCTCAGGCACTCCTGGGAGAAAGAAGGTTGATGGTGGAGCAACATAAACACTGACCCTGGTAAGTCAGCTGTCAGTAGTAGCCCTGAGAATGGAGACTCATGGATATGAGCAAGATTGTAAAACTCAAGAGTGGCACTCATCCTTGCAAATTATGAACTTGTACATGGATTTTACAACAGTCACTGGCTGGGAAAGTCTGAGTCTCTAGGTTGACATATAAATTCTTCTGCAATTAGGGCTGGAAACGGAACAGTGCAACAGATCCCCTGTGAAAATAGCTGGCAGCGATGTGTATATTCAGACCAACTTAGAACTTCCCTTTTCAAACGTAATACTTCCCCTGTCACCCTCAACTTTGTTAAAAAAAAGAAAAGCTGAAAATCAGAGACTGCAGAGAAAAACCACACAGTACGAATCGGGTCAACACTGGGAAAGAAAATTAGAAAATGCTTTTCACAGCAACCCTCTCAAGAAAACACAGTTACTTGGCAATAAGCCCCCTTGATTTCAGTTATATTTATTACCTTATATGATTCTTTAGGATTCTACCCAAAAAGTGCTCAGCAGTAATGAAATATTTGTAGCAAGTAGATACTGATCTCATTGCCTTTACATCTGGAACAAAATGTGCACTTCACACTTCCAGCCAGAGCAAAAGAAAACTAGTTTACGCTCACCTCTGTTTCCTATGTGGTTTCAACGGTTGCAATATAAATTGTATCTGCCTTTTAAAAGAGTTGAGAATTGAGCCCAATCTAAAGCCACGGAAGCACTCTGCTTGAGAGAGGAGGGTTTGCATGAATAGAAAGCTTGCATGCTGCTACCTCCTTCTGGACCACATGCTCTTATGGCTTCCTGATAACCATATGCATTATGTTTGAATGTTGTGAGGGTGTTTGGGTTGGGGGGAGGTTTCTCTCTCTCTCTTTTTTGCACTTTAGAAATCATAAGATTATGTTTGAAGTAATGATGTATATTTGGGCTGTAGCTCAATTTTTAAAGGCATTAATATGTTTTATGCTGTATCTTTTTTTTTTCTGAACACCAATAGCTTTCTGACAGTTAATTGCCCTTTCACAGTGGCTTATACATTTACTAATCTTCCAGTTGCCAAATGAAATACATTGGGCTCTCTATGATTCTTTTTGTCAGAATAGAAGCTTTTTCCAGCAGCCACCCACTTGAAGCTAAATTCTCTCTCTCATGTTATCAACAGAAATTAATACAGCTGGAGTTGATCTAAGTCACTCATGCAATCTAGGCTGATCTTGCCAACACTGTGTAAACATAATGGTTGTGCTAAGTGACAGCCTAGAGAAGGATGGAAGGATCTATGAATGCGGATGTGAGGAGGTGGTTTTGAAAGTAGGGGACATAAACAATGAACTGTTCTTGAAGAGGACTCAGGGAAGGCAATTAAGAGAGGACAATTATCAGTGGGCATGATGGGTATAAATGGAAAAAAAGCATGCTGGTACATGTGTGTGTAAAGAAAACAAAACACCCAAAATAATTTTTCCTTTTTCATTTAGAAAGAGAAAAAACTTGAATTTCTAATAGTACAGGATTTCAGTATTATTCATATCCAAGCTGTTACTGAATATTTCCTACATCCCAAATGGATCCGCAACCATCTTCTGAGGATGTTTATGCAACTTTTATGTCTGGAATTCATCCATTCCAAATTCTGATGAAGTGGCATGGATAACAAAATCAAGCAATTTAAAAATAAAACATACTTTCCTGTCAACACTGGCAGTTGATTTGCTTTACAGAGGCAGAAAATGGGGGAAATTATTTGAAAATCGGCTGTGATGATAGTCCAAGGGAAACATTTTGTACTTATCTCTATCGAGCAACACAGGGTGGAGGAAAACAGAACCATAACACACAACCTTCCCCACCAGCTTACACCTTTCTTTTCCTATTGTATCTAATTAATGGCTGCAGTCAACCTAAGGTGACTTGGACCTTGCATGGAAATGCATTGTAAACAACATAGGATATGGTACACACTGCGGGAGCTCCCAGTTAACTGTGGCTCCCTGCAGTAAGTTTTCCCAACATAAAATGCGTGAAATACCACTTATCTTAATACAGGATGCATGTGTGTGAGAATGTGGCAGGTGTCAGGAGGCAGAAAAAAGTCCTGGCCAGAAACTACCACCTGCTGACTTGTCCCTACACATTTTAATGAGCAGCACATTCTTCTAATCCCTGCAGCTCTGACCTTTGGAATTAAAGCCACTGCAAGAAAAGTCAAAGAAGAAACAAACTTGAAAGCCACAACATACCATCAAAAGCACATTTGGATCCTTTAACTTCTTGGCACTCAGGGACGACTGGCAGAGATCTCCCAGATGCTTTTCAAAGTTGCAAAGGGACGTCTGAAAAAGAGAGGGAGCCAGGATGAGCATTGCTGACCAAAGTTCCTGTACTTGTTTAAAAGTCCAGGGTCCAAAACGACAAGGGACACCACACCGTGCATGTCTTTAGGCCGCACTCAGCTGATGAGGGACAGTGGGTTGAGAATGGAGAGGTGCAGGACTTGGGCCTCACCATGGTTCCTATCCAGCTTCCTCTCAGCCCCGTTCTTGTCAACTATCCGGAGTAGGAGAAATTTTTAAAGAGTTACTAGTGTGGATTAACCAACAGGAAAAGAGCCACACAAAATGGAGGAAGTGGAATTTGAAATAAAAACGCATGGCTCTTATCTAGTAATAGGCACAGAAGACCCATTTGGGACAACCAGGCGATGGGCATGACAACCAAAAGTTTTGCTCTGAAACATTTAACAGAGAAATTTTTAAAAAAATAGGGCCCTCCTTTTTTTTTTTTTAGCAATGGTTCAAATCCAGTAGCAATAAGCTGCAACTAGAGTAGGCTCATTGAATCAGTGGGGATTTGAGAAGTCCATTTCTACATAAGTTCCATGGATTCAATGGGACTACTCTAGTTGCAACTCACTACTGGATTTCAGTTAATGATTGAAATATTCCCATTTTCAGCAAGTTGAGGTTTTGAGTGCTTATTTTTAGGGAAGCAAACTTTTGGGCCATTTTGATCCAATAGCTACACAGAGATTAGCTGCAACACTCCGGGTGAGACAAAAAGTCTTTGTGGTGGGCAGTGCACGGTAGATGGTTTCCAAAATACAAGAAAGCCACTGCTCTGGGCAGCCATAAAAAAGTAACATAAATGGACAAACATAATTAAATTAACAAACAAAAAACAAGAACCCAACTTAATGACTTCCTCTCTAACAACCATTACTAAATCTCAAGATGGCAAAATTAAGAGAACTGAACCAGTCGTTAGACAATAAATCAAAGCTACAGAGCCAACATGACAAATAAGCTGTCAATTTTGTACAATGGCACAGACCAAACACAGATACAGTATTACACTGTGCACAGAATTTAGCAGCCTGAGAATCTTGGCTGCCCTCTTTCCCTCAAGAAACAAGTTCCTGGTCCTCTAGGCTGGAATCCAAAAGCATTTGCTGGTACATGGGTGAACAGCCTGAGCCTCCTAAGAGTCATGCTAGGAGAACAGCAGGATTTCTCATGGTCAGGGGGTTCGGTTCCAGTGTCATGAAGGGCTTTTTACCTGTTTTGATCCTAAAGTAAGTTATGCCAACGAAGGGAACTGAAATATACTTTACTCAGCTGGCACAAGTTATACAATCCAGCCTTCCTTGGAGTTATATACCAATGTAGTTTTTTAAAGGCCAAATACAAACAGTCCTGAATCCAACTGCCAACTACTCAAGTTAAGAGAAAGCACAACATATCGGGGGTGAGGATGAGAGCCACAGCAGAATGCCCATGGACAGGGTGGGTGTTTAGGGGATCCCCCTTCTCTTTTTATTTCCTTCAGCTGATTACAAGGGTAGGGATCAGCTAAGCCCCCTCCTAGGAGGTGTTGTATCAGGCCTGATCAATGGACATGTTGGGCAAAGGAGAGGCTGTTGGATCCTTTAGATCCAAGCCTGTCCTCAACATGACCCAAGAGCATCCTGTTTTGGACTTCTCATTCATAGAGCACTATCAGAGCTGCACCGACACCAACTAACCTTTCAATAGGTGCAAGTGCTAACCAGTGGATGGACCTCCCTTTCTGCCTAACAGCACAGATGCTACATCCTACACCTGCACAGCTAGGCTTGTGAGATGTTTAGGGGTGTCCTATTTGCCTATACATTTATTCCATTGGGTCTTGACTTCCAAGATCCAATACTGGGACTCACCTGTGTGTTGGAACAGTTGTCCTCTGAAGTGACTGGACAGCTGTCTTCTGGAGACAGAAACAGACAAGGAACAAAACAGTGTTGCTTTTCATTCCTTTCCATGAAACTTCCACTTGCCTTTTTGAGAGCCCAAACACTTCATTGATGTATTTAAAATATAGGACTTTACATTGGTCTTTATATGGAATGGCTCATAACAGCCCCAATGACTCTCCTGTCTAAGCCACAAGAGTTACATATGGCTGAACAAAACTTAGCACAGATATGATATACTGTGGGCCAGTGGTTGGGAGACTAAAGTCAGATCAAAGAGATTTTAAGAAGTCCCACATCAGACCCAGTTGGTAGACTTCAGTCATTTTTCCATTGCTTGGGGGCTTAACTGTAGAGCAGGGGTGGGATAGTGCCTGACGTTTTTTTTGCATTAAAGTTTTTTTGGTTTTGTTTTAGTTCTCTTATAACCCTCTCAAAAAAAAGACTCTATCATTCCCATTTTACAGGTTTGCAGAATTTGTCTGAGGTTGACATGCAAACCTTTCCAACTCTAAGAGGCAATGTAAGTTAGCAAAGAAAAGTTAGACCTTGCTAAGGGAGAAAGGAACGTGGTGGCGCTGCGAGTTAAACTGCAAAGCCTCTGGGCTGCAAGGTCAAGAGATCAGCAGTTCGAATCCACTCGACGGAGTGAGCTCCCATCGCTTGTCCCAGCTTGTGCCAACCTAGCAGTCCGAAAGCATGTAAAAATGCGAGTAGATAAATAGGTACCACCTTGGTGGGAAGGTAACAGTGTTCAGTGTCTAATCACGCTGGCCGCGTGACCACGGAAACTGTCTACAGACAAACGCTGGCTCTACAGCTTGGAAATGGGGATGAGCACCGCACCCTAGAGTCAGACACAGCTGGACATTTGTCAAGGGGAACCTTTACCTTTAACTTAAAGGGAGAAAGGAAGAGCATCAATAGTGCACATGTGGACAGGATTCAGTATGTGGTACCTCTAGTTAATGCTGTGAAAGATCCCTGTCCAAAATCCAGGACAACAAGAAAAATTAGTGGGATCAACCTTCCTAAACCAGTGTTGTCCAGATGTTTTGTACTGCAACTGCCATCAGCTCTAGCCAGTATAACCAACAGGATAATGGGAGTTTTGTCCAAAATACTTGGAAGAGATGAAGATGGCAAAAGTGGAGCTAGATATACCAGTAGGACAGCTTCCTGTGAGCCCCATCGTCAAATTTCCACTTGGCCATAAAGTTCCTTATTTTAGAGGATTGTTGTGGTGGTAACATAGAGAAAGACTGCTGCCCTGAGCTCCTTGGAGAAAGAGAAAATTCTGTGCTGTCACTTGAGAATGACCTTCACGTTCTAATGATATGCATCTGTGCATGAGAACAGATTTAGAGAAGAATTCACAGTCACTGAGCACGCTATGTTTTCATAAATTTTCTTGTGCTGACCACAACTATGAAGCATTTTGGCTCTCCTAGTCCAAAGTTTTAAATTATTGAGAGCTGGATGCAGATTCAAATATTCTTAATCGCCAAGATGTTCTGGAAATTGTGCAAGGCACTAAGGTGTCTCTTACCCTGATGGCAGCTTGCTGATTTCCTGGTCTGTAAGAGATACCATTTGGAATATGCATAATGCACGGGCGAAAGGCACCTTCCAGCATATGTATGCAGGGAGTACATGAAGCCAGCCAGCCCTACTTGTGCTAGTCCCACAATCTTCCCAATGCAAACCGGCAGAGGCCTGCACAGATGAAGATTGCCTGGACTACAGGCATCGAAAGAACAATGCTGCTAATCCAGAACAGTCTGAATGAGCCAGAAGACGTGGAGAGCTGAGGGTGGCTAATTGTTGTCAATCATTCAGGCTGGAAGAGGAAGCTGTCAAAGCAGAGTTCCAGGGGAGTACAAACTAGCCACCCCTGTGGAGATGAGCCATCAGTGGCGGTTGTAAGAAAATAATGCACCTCAGTAGCCTAGTTAAATGTAGTCTGAGCAGAAAATGATCACTGTTAACACATCTGGAAGCAAATTGTCTTTGCATGCAGGGAACCACTGAAATAAGGTGGGCAAGGTAAGTAAGTGTTTTAGGTTTATAGAGGCAATCAATAGAACATTTTCTGCTCTTTCTATCTCATGTGGATTTAACTTTACCATAACATTTATGAAGCAAACAGCAGCGCCAGATAAAAGCAAGCAAATGTAAACGTAAAAGCATCTTTTGAAACGCTGGCTCCTGCTCCACCTTCTTTTTCCAGCCTCCTCCATCAAAATTCACCTTTGCACTTGATTATCTCCTTTCCATCCAGGATGTCTTTCTGATATTGGAAATACCCCTTCCGACATTCACACGTATATCCCCCTGGGAAGTTGGTACAATTGGCATTTTTATCACAAGGGTTTTCTGGGATACATTCATTAATATCTGAAAAAGAGAAATTAAAAAAGAAAAAATACAGTAGTAAGAGATCTGAAAAGGGAAACGAGAAGCACACAAAAGAAGGAATGCCCAAATATCTTCTACTTTCAAAGGCCTGTTGCCATCTCTGAGTAAATGGTAACAAACAGAGATGGGCATGAATCAGAAAAATTGTGATTTGTTTTGATTCATGATTTGTCAAGGTCGCCGATTCAGAAATTTACAATTTTTTCCCTTATGAATTGGTGAATTAATTCACCAATTCATTTTTGCCTTTAAAACTCTACAAAGCACTCCCCAAGGCATCTAGAGATACCAAATTATCAAGAAAGCTCCCCCCAAGTCTCCTCTACAAAGTCTTGAAAGATTGGCGAAGTGTGGGTTTTGGACATCTGAGTTACACACCCCTGACTCAGAAATTTACAATTTTTTCCCTTATGAATTGGTGAATTAATTCACCAATTCATTTTTGCCTTTAAAACTCTACAAAGCACTCCCCAAGGCATCTAGAGATACCAAATTATCAAGAAAGCTCCCCCCAAGTCTCCTCTACAAAGTCTTGAAAGATTGGCGAAGTGTGGGTTTTGGACATCTGAGTTACACACCCACAAGGAGGGCCCTCCAGGAAAGCTTTCCCCAGGCACCTAGAGACACCAAAATCACAGAGAAGTCTCTACCCACAATTTGTGGGTACTAACTGAAAAAAAGGCAAAATTCATCAAATATCACTAATTCATCATATTTGTATGAATCAATGCCCCCGAATGAATGTGATTTTTGGTTTGTCAATTCACTGGGCTATAAAATGCCCTCCCAAGAACCTAGAGCCACCAAATTAACAAAGGAGGTTTCCCTGGCTCTCCTCTACAAGCCCTCCAAGGTTGGTGAAGATTGGGTTTAGCACTTTCCTGGGGGGATCCAGTTTGTGGGGGGACCCACAAAAAAGAGTGGGCTTGGGGAAACCCAGTCTTCACCAAACTTGGAGGGATTGTAGAGGAGAGTCAGTAGAAGCTTCTCTGTAGTTTTGGTGTCTCTAGGTCCTAAGGAGGAACTTTCAGGGAGGCTCTTCATGGGTGTACAACTTGGATGTTTGAAACCCAATCTTCACCAAACTTGGAAAGTTTGTAGAGAGTCATAGGAAACATCCTTGCAATATTGGCATCTCTAGGTGCCTGGGGGACCATTTTATAGCCAAACAAATCCATGAATTAAAAATTGCTAAAAAATCCACTGATTCATATTCATCAGGGGCACTGGTTCATACAAATACATATTGACAATTTAATTATTTTTAACAAATTTGTGGGTGGCATATAAGCAAAATAAATAAATAAATAAATAAATAAATAAATAAATAAATAAATAAATAAATAAATAAATAAATAAATAAATAAATAAATAAATAAATAAATANATCTCCACTAGTATCCTATCCATGGTACAAGACCAACACCAGAGCATGGCAGAGTCAACAGAGCCCACAAAAGTTACTGGTCTGGGGTTGTAAATTCCAGGATTCTCCAGTGAGGACAGCCAGTGTCTATGCTTCTTGGGAATGTTATGAGAGTTGTAATCCAAGAAAATAACTGGTTCAGATGCTGGCCACAATCCTGTTCTGTCAATTATGGCTGTGTAATGGTGTTGATGTCACTGGGAGGAGGAGACTGCTGGGAATTAAAGAGCTCTGTTTTGATCCTGGGTTTCAACAACTTACCTGCAGCCAGTCTCATTTTGGCCTCTGAAAACTGAACACCTCATGAAAATCTAATGCCTGTAATGAAGACCAGCTATTTGATAGGGTCTAATCTGACTTTTGTCTCTTTTTGGCAAGTGATGCTTGGATTGGGTCCTCTTAATAGAAAAGAGCTGCTTTCATGAGCAGAGACATGCATCTTTAGTTCTCCACCCCCACCCCATTATTTCTTCCTTTGATTGAAATCATACCACTTTTCCAAACATCTCAAGGCAAGAAAAACCCTTCTCCTGATTGTTATCGTCTCATCAGTCCTGTGAGGAAGGTTCAGCTGAAAGGCAGTGAGCTACCCAAAGTCAGCCAATGAGGTTCACGGCCATTCACACTTGTTGAAAAACAGCCCTGACAATTGCTTTGTGTTTGAGTGAGAAGCGGTTGGGAAAAAAAAGTCTGATTTTAAAAAAAGTCAGCTTTTGGGATTTTCCCTTGCATTTGTCACTTTGTGAATGGCAGTGAAGGCAAGAGGGTACCTTGTAGACCATCCTGACTGCTGCTAAAGGTGGTTGAAAAATGAATTGCAAAATTAATCAAATATCACTAATTCATCATATCCGTATGAATCAATGTCTCAATAAATATAAATCAATGAATTTTAGTTACTTTGATTTGTTAATTCATTGGGCTGTACAATGTCTCTCCAAGGACCTAGAGACACCAAAATTATAGAGAAACCTCCCTGGTCTCTCCTCTACAAGTCCTCCAGGTTTGGCGAAGATTGGGTTTCAACTGTTTGAGATATTCACTCATAAATAACCCCCCCAGGAAAGTGCTTTTTAGCAGCTGGCTTGGGGAAACCCAATCTTCACCAAACTTGGAGGGATTGTAGAGGAGACTCAGAGAAGCCTCCCTGCAATTCTGGTGTCTCTAGGCGCCTGGGGGCCCTGTTTTATAGCTAAAAAAAAAATATCTATGAATCAAAGATCTGCAATTCTCTCTAGGCGCCTGGGGGCCCTGTTTTATAGCTAAAAAAAAAATATCTATGAATCAAAGATCACTAAAAATGCATTGATTCATATTCATCAGGGCATTGATCTGTATGAAAGCAAATTGATGAATTAGCACTTTTTTGAATGAATTTGGTGATTCCTTTTTAACTTCATGCTCATCTCTAGTAACAAAACATGCAGGTCACTGAGAGAATGAACTAGCTGAGATCTGCTGCAAGGCATCCTGAATAATCCTATGTTTGAACTTCACTTTTATGATTCTGTGCAATGCATTCTCGTGGTTTGCAGTGAGGTTAAGTCTCCAATTGTCCTTTTGTTGGGGGCAAAGTGAAAGCCCCATTTGGAGAACCTTTTGAAAACTACTGTATTACAGTGGCCTCTGGGTCAGAATGAGAACAAGAGGAAAGGGGATTCTCATTATCTTCTACACCAGAAAGGGCTCCATTTGCTTATATGGATTTTCCAGCATTTGCAACTGTTCCTCTCATATTCATAGAACAGAAACAGAAAGCACACAAATACTTTTAGTAGGAAACTTTGGGGGTGGTGGTGGGGGGGGGGAAATCCACACCCTGTGCTCTCTAAAAAGCTCCCTGCTGACACACATGTTTTGACATACACACGAGCACCACTAGACTGGCCTCTTGCCTTTGTCCATTTATCAAGAAGATTCTATGAAGCATTTAGTCTGGACCTCTGCACAAGGTGAGGGCGCGCTTCCACCGGCAACTTAAATCCATCCCTGTTCTGACTTTCTTTTAAAATTGGGTCCAAGGCATGTGGTTTTAAAAACAGTAGCCTCGTTCCCGTTTGACTGAAAATTAATTGACTTATTTCTGGTAATTACATTGGTTTTGGCGGCTACAGTGATGAAAAGCACTCATTTCCTTTCGGTTTTAGGAGCACGCTGCTTTAAAAGACTATTTTCTTTTCTTTTTCAAAAAAAAGTACGCAATACGTTGCTGAATCGAGTGTCTACCTTTAAAAGACGATTTTCTTTTCTTTTTTTTTAAAAAAGGACGCAATACGTTGCTGAATCGAGTGTCTACGAAGGGCCACCTGGTGTCATAACAGTCACTAGAAACTGCAGGGCAAGCCCTGGAGAGTAGAGCCCCCCCAGCCAACTAAAGATGGAAGTATGGGAATGGGAGAGGGAGGTTTCCAGCGGGTTCAACAGGCAGGGAGCTGATGCTGGGGCTTTAGTCCCTGCCCTGCTCTCTCAGATGTGGCTTCTCAGGGGTGGGGGTGGGGATGGCCGCTCTGAGTCTGTTCTGCACCCACAGGTGGAGAGGTGATTGTAATGCTGAACATCCTGATGAAGTGATGCAGTGAAAAACATTTTAGGAAAGAATTTTTTAAAAAAATCAAAGGAAAAATGCCCGTGCCCCTACCACCCAAAATCCACATAGGCGCAGATTAAAATGACAACAGCATTCACATCCACAGAACTGCACTCAGTTGAATCAATTTAGAAGTGAGGTATTTCAAAAAGCCCCTGCCAGCCAATTGGAAAAAAAAAAAACTCACTTTGAAGTCCATATAAATCCATTTCATTTCTGCCTTGTGTGCCCAGGAATTCACACATTGACTTAAATCATGTTGAAATCAATTTAACTGTGGTTCTTATTGCCAATGGGGCCACACCCTGATTAGTCTCAGAGGCTGAGACTACCCAACGTGAGTTTTCAATTGAGCAACAAAGTTACGCCATGCTTAGTACTGTGAGTTTGCATCATTAGTGCATGCATTGCTGTTGCAGAAGCAGAGGGAGGTTTTTCTTCAGGGGCATCACCACTGCGTCATTCAAGGTTAATAAACTAGTGGGAGTTATGGGTTAGTGGAAGCTCCACAGGACACAGGTTTTTAAATTATCTACCGTGTTTCCCCAAAAATAACACAGGGTCTTATATTAATTTTTGCTCCAAAAATGCATTAGGGCTTGTTTTCAGGGGATTTATTTTTCATGTACAACAATCGACATTTATTTGAGTACAGTTGTGTCGTATTCTTCTGGTTGCTGCACAATGGTGGAGGGTGGGATATCACTTAACTGGGGCTTATTTTGGGGATAGGGCTTATATTACGAGTATCCTGAAAAAACATACTAGGGCTTATTTTCAGGTTAGGGCTTATTTTCAGTAAGATGCCCCCCTTTCTGTAGTATATGTTCCCTGTTGCCTTAGCTCAGTGGTCCCCAAACCTTCTGACACTGTGGACCAGTTTAGCATGCATGTAGGGAGCGGTGCGTCTGTGCATGTGTGTATGCATACATGAGTACATCTGTGCATGCATGGGGGGTGTACATGCGGGGGTGTCTGTGCATCCATCCATGCATGGGGGCGTGTGTGCATCTGTGCGTGCGTGGGGAGGTGTGCATGAGTGGGGGACATGCATGTGTCTGTGCATGGGGAGGCAGGAGATCTGCCTCTGTGGCCTGTTCATGCCAAGACCACAGACCGGGACCAGTCCATGGACTGTGGACCCCTACCTTAGCTGGTTGCCTTCACCTGCTAAGAGTTAGGCCAGCCCTGATTTCTCACTTCCTAGCAAAATTTGCTCAGTGTGCAATAGGAGCTTGCCTCCTCTTTCCACTACTTTACTAGCAGAGACATATATACTGTATTTTTCCATGTATAAGATGCCCCCCTTTTCTAACCCCAAATTTCTTTCTTTGCAAGAAAGTGGAGGGGGAAGGCAGGGGTCTAAGCGCTTTCATTCCTGCTTTCCCTCTCCACTTTCCTCACAAGAAAGTGGAGGGGGAAAGCATGAATCATCAAAGCTCTTTGATGATTCCTGCTTTTCCCCCTCTACTTTCTTTTCCTCTCCACTTTCTTGCATTTTTTTGCGAGGAAAGTGAAGGGTGAAAGTACTTTCCTTGCAAGAAAGTGGAGGGGGAAAGCAGGAATCAAAGCGCTTTGATTCCTCCCACTCCTTATCTCCGTTTATAAGATGGACCTCAATTTTTAATCTAAATATTTTAGATAAACGTATCATCTTATACATGGAAAAATAGGGTACTGTTGTCATCAAATGTCATGGAGTTGTTTAGGGCTATGTCAACCTTCTATGCTGTTCATGCCATTCTGGTTGTGAACCTGAAGCTGGCTGCAGCCTCTTCTGGCGGCCAAAAAGTGAGCTCTAGGCATCTAACATTTCCATTCCCAACTAACAGCAGCTCAAAGCTAGGCTCCTACTTTATGAGTACTAATGGCATCTCCAAGATCAGCTCATTGGCAGCTTCTTACTCTTGTTGGAGTAAGAGAATGAGAGAGGGGGGGGGTGCTAGGGCATAAGAAAGAAGAGGGCTCACAGAGAAGAGAGAGGATACTAGCGTGAGAGTAGGACTAACAGAGGTTTAATCTGGGCAAAGCTAAAGTCTTTTGCCCAGTATAAAATACGTGGACTATTCTCATAACCTACCAGTGAAACTCTTTTGAACAAAGAAGAAAAGGACAAGAAAGGAGACGGTAATCTCTGTGGTGACTCAACATGAAGCAAACACATTCAGATTATCCCAGACAGAAATTTGGAGTTTCTGTACACGGAAGTTCTAATTCCCACAAGCATAAAGCATATAAAAATGCAGACAGATAGTTGTTCTGGCTTTACCAAGTTTCTGTTACTAACATAGAGCTGTACATACAATATGGTATATTACTGACCAGGATCAGCCCCAAACATTTGCTTTTCTGAAGGAAGGGATAAAATAGCACTGAATCCACCAACATGACACATCGCTGATTCCTATACAAAATCTGACCACTCTGGCAGTTTAACATCATTTCTTCACTGGTGACACAACAATGTGTTTTCTTGCACTGGAGCATATCACATGGCATGTGCAGCTGTATCTAATTCGAGGCCCCATTGGACCTCCCTCCGTTTGCCAAATGCCAGGGCTTTTTAAGCCGACAACGGATGCTGTACTGAAAATGAGTGTTCCTGATATTTATCAGCTTGTTATGTTTATATATCAGTCCTCTTTCAAAAAGCTCCGATCAGTTTAGGCTATCTCCCAAAAAAGCACCAATCATGCCAAGACCTGTTTTACTTAGTACACCATCATGTGTATTTTACCCATTCGCTAGGCCCAAAAACATCATCAGTTCGTGTCCATTTCACAACACCAGCTAACTACTACTAAGTACTTAGTAACATATGAGGCATCATTGTCCATGCTTTCCTTTGCAAGTGTAAGAAAGAAATATTGTATCTTCATTGCACTATACCTCTGCATATCTTTCTATCATTTTTTTGGCTCTTCACAAATCCTGGCTTGCATTTACAGTGGTAATCTCCTTTGATGTTGATGCAATGTCCATTAGGTCCACAGATGGAGGCATTTTGCTGGCACTCATCAATGTCTGTAATGAGAAAGCTGCATCTCCATGAAACTAGCTAATTGGTCCTAATTTGCTTGGAGTATCTCACATCATGGTGCAGAAGAAATGGTTGGGGACTGCAGAAAGACAAGCTGTTCTGATCCCAGGGCTGAAAAAGTCTGCCTTGGCTAGGCCATGCAAAGCAGCATGCTGTGAAGTGGGCTCAAGGCTCTGTGTGTGTGTGTGTGTGTGTGTGTGCGTGCGTGCGTGCGTACATCCGCCATCTCCTCAGCAAAAAGTTTTTTCCCAGCAAAAAAATGGTGCATGGCTGCTCCTGGAAATATCCAGGAGCCACATCTCACCTTTTAAAGACGTTACACAGTTTACCTCTGACATTTAATACAGAAAAATAACTTTTCCTCTCCAAACTAGTTACTGGTGGTTTTGTTCTTTTACTTTTTTTGGCGTTTGGGGCATTTTGTGTGTGCGTCCCCCTGCTCAACAAAAAGGATCCTGAGGATGTAAAATTAGCCCCAGACTATCAGCCATCCTGGAGCACTGATTCTCAAATGGTGCATTGCAAGAGCATTCTAGCTGGGGTGTCTGGCTGCTAGCAAGGGCCAGAGGGCTTTTTATCCTAGTGAAAGGCCAACATTGATAAAGATTTGACTGCTAATTCCAAACTGGGTGATCCAATGACAGTCTAGAGCAGGGTGTTGACTACCCACATTCCTATTATTGGGTCTATTCCTACTGGCACTAAACACATCGGACTATAGCTTGAAGGGAGAAAGAACCAAGAGAAATTTCTAAGATGTGGTAAGGATGCAAACCAGTCCCTTGTTGCATCCTGGGAAGCTATAGGCAAAGAAGCAATTAATTGTAAGCCAGAGCTTCTTTTCTTGCCATGGGGTACATAACTAGAAATTAGGTTTCCAGGGGAGACAGGAGCCACTCATTATCCAAGCGTGAGGGGCATCTCACCCCTCAATGCTGAGGTGAAGTATCCCCAAACCACTCAGACCACAGGCTACCTCTGCAAGAGGGAATTGCTGTCAAATGACGCCATAACCCCTTTCATCCATCTATGCAACCATTTCTGCTTTGGGTGTCATTCCTCACAGAACACGGAACGCAGGGAGGAGAAAAGTGCTTAAAAGTCTTTCTTTACTTCAGAGAATCTTGTAGCACCTTGAAGATGAACAACTTTTACGTAGCACAAGCTTGTTTACATGATACAAAAACATTT